TTTTTTCCCTGTGCCATTCCACATTATTACAAATAACTTCATTTCTGGAGATTTATGGTTTGATTTCTTTGTATGTATGGATCACTTGGGTTTTTACCGACATCTGGTGAAAATTTCATGTCATTAGCACCTCTAGTAATATATTTACTGAGAAAAATGGTGACGTGTTCAGTACTTATTTTACCCGCTGTATAAAATATTTGATGTCACTGGGTCCAAGGACTTTGTTTTCAGCTAGAATCCCACCGAAAAAACAAACAAAAACAATAGTACACAGTATGCGTCCTGACAGTAATTAATGCAAACTCTTTAAACTGATTATGATAATAAATCTGGTGGTTTTTTCCACTTTAAATAGTTCAGGAAACAAAAATCAAGTCTTGCGTGCACACGCCATAAAAACACAACAAAACATTTGCACCACTCCCAGTTTACAGGCAAAACAGATTTTTTTAAACATCCTTTAGCATTTCACAACAATCCAAGCTTAGAGGATAAAGTCCACTGCTTTAGAGGTCAGTTGTCGTTTAATCTGCCCACTGTCTCAGTGTCCACAAGCTGCTGCTCTACACTCAGAATCTCATTCTTGCATGAATAAAATGCTTAATTTTAGGTGAATTCAGTCAAGGCCACTGTAACTCCGTTCAGTTTTTCTGAACATACCTGGTTATCTTATCTCCATACTGACATTGTCTCCATCTTCACTCTTGAATGTAAGGAAAATAAAAGCTAAACGATAACTAAGAAAATTAGAAGTGAGGTGCAGCTTTATGGAGCGAACATTAACTGCCAATAAGGCGAGAATGACGTTTTTTTTTCTTTGAATTACTAAACATATTCTGCCTTTTTCAAGCTCATTGARTTTGTTATATTTTCCATTTCAAAGCCATGTGCTGCTAAACAAAGAAGCTGTAATTACCAAGTGGTTTTGTTTCTTCCGGAATTGCTGCTCTCCCCTTGTCCCGTCACAATCACCTGATATGCAAACTGACTCCGAATCATTTTCATACAAACTAAGCAGGGATGCAGATATGTAATGACGTGTATTCAGGGTGGTAGGCGATTGACTTTTTGTCTTCTCTTGTAAAACAGCTGTCGCAGCAGCAACAGGAAGAGCCTCGGGGTCGGGACGCCCTCACCCACACTGTCCAGGCCACTCTCCCCGCTCTCACTCAGCACGGGTAAAATGAAATTCAGATGATTTTATGCACCGATGTTAGTTCTCCATGTTTTCTGAAGGTCTAGAAAGTCTGTCTCCTTGAACGCTAAACAGAAATTCGAGGAGTTTGTTGTTTAGTTGAGAGGCAGRAGATTTATGATATGATTATGTTGATGTCATCCTCGTGCTCACGGTGTCCGGCCCCTTAACACCATCATCAGCTGCACTCTGTGAAAAGTGTTTGGCTCCAGAGCGCTTCAGTGTATATGTCATCCCTTTTGAGCTCAAACATGCAAAGGATTATCTAATCACCGAGTTAAATCAAGACCTAATTGGGTGCTCAGACGCTTGCATATAAACAACCACAGTCTCTAGTGTAACCGGACTCTAAACAAAACAAGAGGCTTTGCTGCGCATTAAGTGTGCAGATTGATGGTGTGATGGTCTGAAAAGTAATACCAAGATAATAATATGTTTGGACCTCTCTCTCACAACAACTGAAGGTTCCTGCACAACCGCAGTGTCGTTCTTCACCTAATATTTACAATTATGAACTAAGTTATGTGGTTTTCTATTAAACACCCGTCGAAAGACAGATGTATTATGGTTACAGGCTCCATCCGTATGTAACTTCTGATCCACTCAAGATAATCTAACAAAACTTGATGCACATCCTGTGTTTAGCAATGAGCTAAACAACAGTGTCGTGGGAAATGGGTGACATCATCTACAAGTTGGCAAGGATTTAAAAGAATAATGACATCACAATACCCTAAGGCCTAATCAATCATTGCTAATAGTTTTGCATAATTTCTGAGTCCAGATTTATGAAAAAAAGATATAGATGTATAATAAGTTGATGGCAGGTGTTGTAATGTGCTCTATGTGGTAACTCGTTTTATTTTCAGACGTTTATTCTTAAAGGGATCCCCGATTAGTTGTAACATTAGACTTTATTTGATAAACATATATTTTAACTGTAAAATAAAGATTGGAAAAATACTGTAGGATGTTTAGTTTTGTAAATTTTTAGAAAATATATTTTAACACGGACGGAGCCATTTTATTTACACACAAAGCATTCTAGGTAAATAATGACGTGGAGAGGTCCTCTGTGTGAGCAAGCTATATCCACCCTGAAGGTTAATCTTGGACAATAACTGATGATCGACTCTTTTAAATGAAACCAGAGAGCGTTGACAGAGAGGAGAAGGTAGAAATCACTCAGTCTGTAACTGAAAATGTGGACATTTCATGGAAGAAGAACCTCAGCTTAGCCTGTTAGCCTTTGCGCTAGGACCAACGCTATACTGTCTTATATGTATTAGCTCAGCACTAACGTGACAAACAAGCTAAACTGAGGTCCTCCATCCATACTTTAAG